GTATCGTAGAAATGGGTGTTAAAGATATCGATAATTCTGAGGATGCAACACCACAACAATTCAGTCTTTATTTAAATATAGGTAAAAATATTTTTATAAAAAGCACGATTCTATAAGTAATTTTAACAATACAAAATTATAATATATATGTAATGTTTATTGCATAGGTTTGCAAAACGGTGTTTTATTAAGGACTGTATTAGATCCTATTTCTGGAGACCTTGCAGATACACGTACTCGATATTTAGGATCTCGACCTGTGAAACTATTTAGAATAAAAATGCAGGGTAATCAAGCAGTGCTAGCTATGAGCAGCAGGTCATGGCTTAGTTATTATTACCAAAATCGTTTCCATTTAACACCCCTATCTTATGAAAGTTTAGAATTTGCCTCTGGCTTCAGTTCTGAACAATGTCCAGAGGGTATCGTTGCTATATCAACAAATACACTTAGAATTTTGGCTCTAGAAAAATTAGGAGCAGTTTTCAATCAAGTCAGTTTTCCATTGGAATATACTCCAAGAAAATTTGCTATTCATACCAATTCTGCACATATAGTAATCATAGAGACCGAGCACAATGCGTATACAGAAGAAACCAAACAGCAAAGAAGGTTACAAATGGCAGAAGAAATGCAAGAAGCAGCAGGTGCCGAAGAAGCTGCAGTTGCTAGAGAATTGGCAGAAGCATTTCTGTCGGAAGAACCTAATGAAACTGTTTTTGGTGCGCCAAGAGCAGGACCTGGTCTTTGGGCATCACTTGTAAGAATTATAGCACCTACAACTGGACATACATTCGAAGTACACAGATTAGAACAAAATCTAGCTGCATTATGGTAACTTATATTGCTTTTATAAAACTATAAATTTATTATTAAATACAAAAAAACAGAGTTTTATGTATGTGTTATACTATTCTTTGTTACAGTTTAGGTTTGGTTAAATTTAGTAATCAAGGCGATCAATTATTCCTCATTGTCGGCGTTGCAAAAGAATTTCAACTTAATCCTAGAGTCAGTAATGGAGGCTTCCTTTATACTTACAAGTTAGTGTAATCTCTTTCCAGTATTCTATTTTATATGTATATACTATATATAATAATACATGTACATGATGATAAGCATAATAGCTGTATTTTTTGATGATATTCCTGCAGTGCTGATATACAAGTATATATATTTTTGTACTATTCTACATCGTAATGCATTATTGAAAATTGTATTTTCTTTTCTCCAGAGTAAATGCGGAATGTACAAGCGTCGAATTATTACATAAGACTGTCTTGGATGAAGTTCCGTTAGCAATTTGTCCATATCAAGGAAGAGTGCTGGTTGGTGTTGGCAGAATGCTACGCCTTTATGATATGGGTAAAAAAAAACTATTACGAAAATGTGAAAACAAACACATTCCAAATGCTGTTGTTTCTATCAACGCTGTCGGTCAACGTATATATGTCAGTGATGTACAAGAATCAGTTTATGCTGTTAGATATAAACGTCAAGAAAATCAACTAATCGTTTTCGCTGATGATACACATCCGAGATGGATCACGGCAACTTGTGTACTAGATTACGATACCGTAGCTACAGCTGATAAATTTGGAAACATTGCAGTGGTAAGTTAAAATCATAAAGTCAATGTGAATATCGTTATTATAATATAAACATTATAACAAGTATGATACTTTTTTAATAGATACGACTTGCTAGTGGTATTAACGATGATGTAGACGAAGATCCAACTGGTAATAAAGCACTTTGGGACAGAGGTTTATTAAATGGCGCTAGTCAAAAAGCTGACACTGTCGCATGTTTCCACGTTGGAGAAACTGTTATGTCTTTGCAAAAAGCTACTCTTATTCCTGGTGGTTCTGAAAGTTTAGTTTACACGACATTGAACGGTACGGTAGGAGTACTTGTACCTTTTACCAGTCATGAAGATCATGATTTCTTTCAACATCTCGAGATGCACATGCGTTCGGAACATCCACCGCTTTGTGGAAGAGATCACCTTTCTTTCAGATCATATTATTATCCTGTGAAAAACGTTATAGATGGCGATCTTTGTGAACAATTCAACTCGATTGAACCTTCAAAACAGAAAAGTATTGCAAGTGATCTTGAAAGAACACCGTCTGAGGTGTCGAAAAAATTAGAAGATATACGTACACGTTACGCTTTCTAGAATAAATCTTTTATAATATTCATACATATATTCATCTCTATTTTGGTTGTTCACAAATAATCATTGGAACATGTAAGTTAATATATTTTTATTTTCGAGCAAACTACATTGATACGTATAGTCCTACTTATAATAATTTTAATTTATATCCACATTGCAATCACATTATGACTACGGAATTATATCGAATATATTAATGCATTAATTCTTAATAAGTAGTAATATTACAATTTATAATTTACTAAGTTATATCTTGCGTGTTTTGAAATTGTACAAATAGTATACGATATAAAAAAATCGAAAATTAGATTTTCGTTCGTGTTATGTAGCAAAAATATTGCTTTTTCTAGTTTTCTAGTAAAGAAAATATTTAATAATAAATTAAATTGGTAATTTCAATGTGTCCGAAAACATACTTTAGATACTTTAACTTAACATTAAGTCATTGCCTTTATAGATCAAATAAAAAAAGTCAATAAACTTTATTACGTATGCAAATTTGATGAAAACTTCATAAAATTAATAAATGTGAATTAATAAAATATAAAATTATTTATCTTATTATAAGTAAAGTGAGTGTAACAGTATTATACTAATTTTTTTTTATATAATACAGACTTATCTAAATTTGTACTGATTGTGAAATATGTAATTTTTTATTTTTTTTTTAACTCATTTCCTGTATTAATCTATGTAATATATACTGTTATATTATCAAAACGGTTGTGACAGTATATATTTGTTATTTCAAATTTAATATTCTTTGTACATGTTTATAGATCATAATCACTATTCTTTTTGTGAATTTAAGATAATGGATAATCTTTAATGTTGATTATATATCTAATAATTTGGTCATTATAAAACTTTTGGTAATATAAAAAATACTTCGTATAATATCGTAATTTTTAAAATTTTTGGTGCAGTTATATCAAATAAAATATTGCAATCACTTTGCATATTGATATCGTCAAACAACTTGAAAGTAATATATATATATTACTTATGCAATAAAAATTGTGAAAAATTTACTCTTAATCATCTATTATACACAAGTTTTCAACATTATAGTGATTATATTTATTTAGTAAACGTTTAAGAGCTAATTGTATACAATATTAATATTTTATACAATAAATATTCATTGAAGGAGAAAAACAGGTAACCATATTTTAAGATATTATTCCATTGGCATATTACAGTACATTGTAACATCTTAATCCTTAGAAATTATCATTTAACAATAATCATTAAACTGTTTTTATACACAATCTCATATACAATATTCAATAAATATATAATATCATATAAATTACATGTTTCTTTGTTGCAATTTCAATTATTTTTGTGGTATACATATTCTCAAAGAATTCATTTAATGTAAAACTCGATAACTAGTTATTTACATTATTTTGGAATAGCAGTCAAACTTTGTGAAATAAATAAAAAGAATATAAACAATAGTATTGTAAAGATATTTTTATTACAAAAATGATTTATATATTTATTATGCGATAAATTTTCTTATAATTATAATTTTGTGTCGAGTCTTACATGCTATTCTTTTTTCTCGTAAATAACAAGAATACATCTACGAATAATTGCAGTTTTTACAAATATGCAATAAAGTATATAATGCAATCAAATATATCACATATGCACATACATAACATAAAACTACATGAAAATATATAAATAATTTTACATAAATTAAAATGAGTAATGATCTCATATTGTTATAATTATATTTTTATTGAATTTGAAGAAAAATCAATTGTTATTTTATTATATTCTCAGCTTTTTTCTGTTTTTGTTCCCCATTTATTAGAAAATGTAAACTATAAAGGAAAAATTTTAATGCTATGTTGATGAATAAATTGATAATTTAAGCTAACAAAATTTCTATAACACTATGCTACATATAATGTACAACGAATTAAAAATATAAATTACAATTTTTAGAAAGAAAAAAATGATTATCGCTAAAGAGTTCATGTATATTCATCAGGATTATTAAATGACAACCATTATAGTAATTTATCCTGAATACTGTACCATCTTACCATACCTGAAAAATTATACAAAACATTACAAGTTTATGTTTCTTCATTATGAAAATAAATAAATTATACTAATATTTTTTTTCACTACATTTTTAGTATCATTACAGATTTAAAATTTAAATTTAAAGTACTAACTTAAATTTGATGATAAATATTCTCTAAACATAATAAACGTAATCTATATAAATATAAGGCAAACTGGCCTTTGAATATTAAAATAATATAAAAATTTAACTGAAATTGCTATTTTCTTTATCATTAATTTGCATTTCAGTATTGTTAAAATTAAACTGATCCTACCTAATAATCGTATATATACACCTTTTCTTTTAATACAATTTTTCTCTGGACAATATAAGAATAATTTTGGCATATTTTAATAATTGAAGCTTCTTAAAAATTACATTGTATAAATCTTTATATTAAATGTTAATTGATAAAAATAAATATTTATTATTATATCGAATAATACACGTTTGTTAATTAATTATAATTCTGTCCAGTTAATTCGATAAAACTATATTAAATCAATTAAATTTGAAATTTTATTATAAATATATATATATATATATATATATATATATATATATATGTATATAAATAAAATATATATATATATATTCTATTGTACCTTATACTTACGTAAATCCAATTATGGCTTATATCACATCTCCAGAAAAATAGTTTTAATTTCCATTCAATCATGTTTCCAATCATTCACACACAATGCGCGGGCTAGAAATGAAGCAACATCCTTTTAAGTTTTTTTCCATCATCTAATTGTTTTATTACTTCTATCTGTATTTTTCTGATATTACTGCAAGTCTTTTTTTGCAGAATTTAAATTCATTCTACACTGATACATCGTTGAAAAATAATACAATTAGTTTAATATAATAACTAACACTCTTTTTGTGATGTAAATCGAGCAATGAATATGCGACAATTGATATATTATGTGTTTATGTATGTTGTATATATGTGTCTGTACGTGTTACATGACAGCGTTTACTTTGGTGGATTCGAAGACTACATAACGTTCGATTTACGTGTGTGTTAACGTATAACTTATTCGACATTGTAAATTAAATATACTTAAAAACAATAACATATTTTAATTTGATGTATACGCACTTAGTAGATCAATAAATATTAATATTTTATTTTGAAGGCAATCAAAGTGAAGTATTCACAGCACGTAGAACGAACGTAGGAACGACCGTTATATTAAATATGTCGAGGGTTTTATTATAACAACCAGTGGCAGCAGTGCTTTTCGTGAAGTTAATCATGCAGTAACATATGGTCAGTCAGTCAAAGGGTAACCCAGATCTCGTTCCTTGAGTCGCGTTTGAGAAATAGGTCTAACGACATCATTTACATTTATTTAATTTTCCCCGCGTTAAATGTAAACGCGTTGAACGCATGCTGTAAATAATAAAATAAATTCGTTCGTTACAATGTCGGTTGATCTAATATAAATTTCAACTAATAGCCTTACATATTTCTATAATTGAAAAACTTTATATAACAGGGCTCAGAAAATACCATGTCCTTGCCTTCTACTTAAATTTAAAGCATGTTATTAATTATCCCTGCACAATGGATACATCAGCTAGATGGATAATCATTCTTGACTTTAATATAATCTTCGTACATTATAACACTACTTCAGTCTGATAATTGTTATTGTTTTTGTACTGCAAATTTAACAAAGGTCTTACAAGTTTATCATTGTAATGACATTATAAAATTTTTTTTTATTTTTATTTATTTGGGTTATGGAAATGAATATTATGTATTTAGAACACATTTCAGGAACATCCTGTATATTTCCAGCTACCAAATGAAGGTGCTTTTGATACGTATACACATTCTTATAATACTACCAGACGACTCACACATTGTTGTAGCAGAATATCACACTACATACTATTGTCTATTTCTTAATATAATAGTGTCCTTTTACAGATCTGTTTATTAAACGTATAATCAAAAATAATTAAAAAGGTAATATAATAAAAAAATTATATTTGCATTTTAATTTGTATATTATTGATAAAAATAATAAATGTATAGCTGTTTTAATATCTGTCTTTACATTATAAATAATAACAGTCTGTTAACATATCTTTGAAATAATTATTACAAAAAGGAACCATAGAGGTGTAACATTATAAAATATATTTTATGAAACAGAAATTAATATAAAACATGCTCCATCCTGATGTTTGTTATTCTTACTTATATTGAACATGTTATTTACTATTACTCACCCCGGAAGAGGAGGAGTTGTCAACGGGCTTGTAAAGTGGCGTTGGTGTGTGATTGTGAATATCCTGAGTCTCATAATTTGACCCACTGCGACTTTGTATTAGAGAAAGTACAAATGCTAAAACAGCACATGAGAGACCAAGTGCTGCAGCAGCAGATAATTGGGAACGTGTGCGTCGCGGTACCCAACCTCCGCTGTGGTATTCCCATATGGAGTATGCCAATAGCGCACTGCTTAATGAGTAAGATAAGCCTATACCAGTGAATACCCACGTATTCTGTGAAGACAAAATTTTTTATTTTAAATAATAATAAGACAAAATATAAAATATATTTGAAAATCTTCTAATAATATTACTAATAATAAAATTTATTTATGACAACTTACCAGTCTGGACCAATTGAAAGGAAATACATAAATAACGTGCGAAATATCAAGAAAAAGAAGTAATGCAGTTATCAAGAAACAGAGAACAGCGACAAATATCATGAATCTCAAACGTCCGGGTAGAGGCAGCATAAAAAGACTGACTTTGGCAGTACCAGAACTGCATAAAGTAACCAAACAAGCTGCGGATGATATCTGTAACATATATATCAAATATATGTCAGTCTATACAGAAAACATTATGTATCACTTTTGGTTCTTTGATATCTTAATATTCTTATTTATAATATTTGCTCTATTATTTTAATTAATATTGTTATAATTAGATTTCTTTTCTATAATTTTACTCACAAGTAGTAGGAGTCGAACAGCACCAGTAGCTGTTTTAAGATGACCCTGTATGTCGCAGTAAAAAACCAAATGACTAGTTCGTGGCCACGGCAGTGTATTTGAGGAAGGGCCATGTCTATGATGGTCATTATGGCCATAATGATCATGATAGTTTGCGTGCGAGTCCCAGGAATGGACTGTGGAATGGATTCCTGGTGAATCCAGTTCCGATGATTGGGAGCTAACTCGCCCCCCTGTTCTACTACCTGCTATTAACATAGTATCATAACCATGTGCAAACAATATAATAGTATACTTATACATATTCAGTACAAATGTATCCATGAATGTGTATTGAGTATGAATGTTTTTTATACCGATTTCGAAGTCTTGAATATCCTCAGGTTTAGAATATGCAGAGGGTGGCGGTTCCAAGTCACGAATTTCTTCCAAAAGAAGCACCTCTATTTCGTCGGCTGCGTATAAGTCCGAAACCGAGCGAAGATGATGCCGAGTCTCGCTCATTACTTAGACGCGCTCGTTAGTTTGCTCCTTCCTGCCTGCCGTGTTTCCTTTCTACTTCATCTGCCAACAACCACCACTCAATGTTTGACCGATTTAGATGCTGATCCATTCGTTTGTCCGCCATTGCCTGCAAATACTGCGTGCCATTTCTATACTTGCAGGCAATATCTGTTCCCCACCCTCAGGCCACACCTACAGCAAGTTATATTTATTTTAAACATTAAAACTATATTTTTTATAATAAATAACATGATAAATAAAGCATATTTCTTTACATGTTAAATGCATATGAATTAAGATTTACCACCAAAATGCAGCATAAATAAGTTTGCATAAAAAAAATAATTTTTTATAGCAGTAAGATAGTGTTTTTTTTTAAAGCTAAAGCAGTGTTCATAACTTACATACTAGTTTATGCTAACCTTATGAACTATTTTTCAAATTTTATACAATACGCTTGCATTTATTTGATGCAAAAATTTAATGATTGATATAGGATATAGTTGGATATAATTGGTTAAATCCGTGTACCAGTTATCAACGCATAGGTCAACGCGTTGTTTCAAAATTTTTTGTAATAACATGCTTATGTGTTAAGACTTCTTATTAAAACCTGTAATTAAAGACAAAATACAATGATTTTTCTGTTTCACTATTATTTTGTTCAAGTACACATTTGATTCTAAAAATATAAATAATAAAGAACAAGTTAATAATAATATAACATATATTCGTTTACATTTATTAATATTGTAATAAACTAACGATTTGAAGTTTATAATTGAATATATATTATAAATCATGTAATATAACCTATAAGTTTATAATCTGTCAACTTGCAACTTTATTACAGTATCATTATATGTTATCTTATGAACGTTGAATAAAATCGTATAATAAATGCACGCGTATAATCGTAGCTTAAATAATTTATATTTGCATTATTTGCCTTAAGATGTATCAAATAACTTTTAGAAACGAATATTTAAAGAAACAGAGTTTGTTTAACAAATTAATATCTAATCTCTATCCATTTCGAACTTGTATTTTCATTTATTCGTTACAAGTGGAATAAACCTAAGTTATAAAACATTTTGAAATGATTTTGAAGGTATACCTCTAATCGTTTTATTTATCGAAGCACGTAGATTACATGTTTTTAAAGTTTTCCAAATTGTAATTATCAATTTCTCAGTCAATGGCCGCCATTGCTTTTTGCCTGTTTTGCTTTTGATATACGTCCATTAAAGGATTCTAGGATAAGCCAAGTAGGAAGCCATTGGTCTTTCTTATACTATGTTTCTCATAGCTTCGCCACTGTTTAGAATTTTGATCATTGTTTTAAGGAATAAAATCATCGAAAGATAATTTAAATCGAGTGAAAATAAATGTTTCGAAATGATATTTAAGAAATATGATACTTAGAAAGAAAATATTTAATCAAATTCTTAAGATCGATCTTAAAATTATTTGATATTGAATTTAAACAAATTTTTTATATTTTATTACTTTGTTTATTATTATGAATATATATTTAGAAACAAATTTTCATTAATACTTATATTCATTGGTAAATATAACAACGAATAAGATTAATTTTAAGTGAAGATCATTTACAAAGTTTTAAACTTGAAAACTCACCCAAAACGTAAAAATTAATTATATATTTAAACTGGATTAACATGATAATTCTTTCGAATATTATACTCTATAGGTAGATAAAACACAAAAGATATAATTTAATATTGTTAAAAGTAACTTTTTTTGATATTATCATTTAAAGAATGTAATTATTAGTGTAAGAACATAAACTGTATACCGGCTTTTTCTTTCGTGACCAGTAAAGCGGTTATTGCATGTGATGTATAATGGCGTTATTCGGCAAACGTGAAGATCTAAAATTAGTACCTTGGTTTTCACCGTAAGTAATTAATAAATTAAATAACTCATTAATATATATATATACATACATATATATATATATCATACCATGATTTTTAATAATTTAAAAGGACGGAATGGCATCAAGTATATAAACAAATCTACTCAAACAATAATGATGAACAGACTGAAGCATATGAAACGCTTTTAGCATGGAAGGCTAGGTAAGATATAAACAAAAATTGCTGTACATAAATGTTGTAAAATCATGAAACAACAGAGGATTTTTAGGATGCCAAAACTACCTGTTGGAGTGGATTGTACTCTTTCTATTATACAAGTTTGTTTAAGAGATCGTGAATGGAGTCCTAAAATTGACAATGCTGAATTACCTATACACTATGAGAATGATTTGTGTTTAATGTATTCTACTGCCATAATGAGATTTTTAAATCATATTTCTAATATTGGACACACTAAACAAACATCTTTATTTCACATTGCTAAACAACTTAATATTCCAGAATGGATAGTAAATTTAAGACATGATGCTGCCCATGGACATGAATTACCGTCTATTGATGTTCTGAGGATAGCTGTTAATTTATTGCTGACATGGTTGCATGTATGTTTTTTAACCAGTATATCGTTTTTTTTATATTTAATTATAATCATTCATAATTATATAGATATAGAATTATATAGAAATGGAATAAAAATTAAAATTTTTTTTTAAGGAAGAATATTGGATAGCTGAGGCTAAAGCTTTGGAAAAATATTATGCTAAAAAGGCAGAAATAATAGAAATAAATGAATCAGAAGACACTGAAGGATTTACAGATTTAATTGAACTTTGGGTAGCTATTGGTTTATATATTCGTGCTGGTTATGACTTAGTGGATTCTATACCAGATGTACAATTACAGTAAGTATTAATTATAAATTATGATTCTCTATATATGATTTTATAAATTATATATTGTATTGTAGAGAAACTTTATATGATTTACGCATGTATGCAGTAAAATTAACACAGCAGGCTGAGGGCAGTGAGGAAGAATCTGAACATATACTAGAATTGAAGAATGTTAAAATAAAAAAAAAATATAGTTTATCAGCAGCACGTGCTATTCTCCTAGCTGAAATATCCAGATATCTTGGAAAAAACAATCAGATTGTTAATAAAGAAAATATAGTTCTGAATGCATTATTAGAAAATGAAGCATTTTTATTAACTGCAGATATTTTTACTATCTTTTCTGAAAACGATGACATTGAAACTAACCAAGAAGAGCAGTTACCCATAAGCATAATACAATTTTGGCAAGATGTTATTATTTTATTACAAGATGTAAATATGTTGGAAGCTTTAATCTTAAAGTTACTTACTTTAGTAAAAAATGAACAAGAACCAGAATATAAAAGACACATGGCAGCTTTATGGATAAATACTATTGCTTACGGTTTTATTAAATTAACTATTGCTCAACAAATGTTTTGCACTTTAGAACATAAATTACGAAAAATTAATAAAACAATATCTCAAAAAATATTAAGTCTCAAAGTTGAAGAGGAAATAAATAAGAACCATCTAAATTTGAAAAATGTACTTTTTTTAAACATATCAAATACACTTCCACGTTTTCTAACTGATATTCATTTTCTCATAGATATTATATTAAATGCAAATATATTCACTCGTAAATTTATATCACCTCTTCTACAACTCGTTATACCAAAACTTGATGTAGATCAAAAAGAACACTTATTAAAGTTAATACAAATTTATACGCAAAATGAATTTAATAGTAAATTTGATGGACTTAGTAATAAAATTAATGAAGAAATATTTACAATTGAAGATATTATTAAACTAAATTCTGAACATAATGATGAACTCAAAAGAAAAGAAGAACAATTAAGAAAGACAACATTAGCAGATCAAAATATTCGTAATAATCAATGGAAATTAACACATGGTAAGTTCAAAAATGTCAGTTATATATAATAATACAAATAATATAATTCTTTTTATATTATACATACACAAAATATTCTATTTTTATAGTACAATATTGTTGGACAGAATGTCCAATTGGTGTATTACCTTGGCAAATTGACTCTTTACAATATTTACAACCTATTAAGATAACAGCGACAAACTCCAATGTCCCTATTCCAATATTTGTATCTGATATCATACCTGGTATTGTTGATAAAACAAATTTGAGAATGCAAAGTCAAATTATTTGGGATAATGTATTGAGAAAAAAGAGAAGATTGAAGAGAAAACAACAAAAAGAAGCTGACATAATATATAAAGCGATAGAAATTGTTAAAAAACGAAAATAATTCATGTTATTTATTTTTGGATTGTTGTATTTAGGAACAGTCAATAAAAAATAAAGAAGAATGTAAAAATATAAACAAAAAAGAAATAAAAATATTTAGAGATATATTTTACAATATAAATTATATTATCAAGTACATAAATCACATTTATTGGAAATTATACCTATTCTTAGTATAAGATTACAATAACTATATATAACAATACAATTTGTATCTTATATATACACACAGTTTCTACACATCTTCATCTTCTGCATTTATCATTTATATTTATATTCATAATTTGGATTTGGGAATGTTAAATTTTATAAAATATTTATTTACAAAAGTATAATTTTATTTTATACAAAGTTACAAAATCCAGGCACCGTTTTATCACTGTATAATTCTAAAATACAATTATTTTATATATGCTAAAAATAGCAAGATATATACCAAACCATGATTGTATTATTAGTATATTTTGTAGTGTATTCAGATTCTTTCACAATTATGAAATACATTTTATACTCTTTGGTTAAACAATTGTTTTAATATTTTAATATACAAAAATAGAATACATGTTTGTTTTCAATTTTATTGAACTAATTAAAATGAATATATACGTTTATCAGTAGTATTAGTTCGTGCAAGTACTTCTTGCAATGATTTATAACTATTAAGACCAAAGGGTTCTAAAGGAAGACGTGATATTGATGCTATTCTGTAATTAAATTAAAACATATTAAGAATTATAATTTATAAGACTTAGAATTGATATTAGTAAAAAATATAATTTATACGACTTAGAATTGATATTAGTAAAAAAAATTACCTTCCACCAGATACCTTATACAGAAATTTCCAGTAAGAGGTTCTTAAATTTTGTGGTTCAAAAATACCTGCATGAAAAAGTACTGCTGTAGAGAAGCTATATAGAAAAATAACAAACCATTTAACATCAGGAAGTATTCCTTTTTCTACTCCATCGATACAGATTAACTATAATCAAAATAAAATAATTGTTATTTTAGTATCATAAATATAATTTGTAAATAATTATTTTTTAATATAACATTACATGTAGTACTTTCCACATAAAGTATAAAGCTAAAGTATTATTTGGAAACGCAATAAATGCAATACTGGCAACCAAACCAGCAGGTATAGCAAACTTTGGAGAATCTTTATTATATATTCTTCGTAGTAAACATGATGTGAACTGAAACATTAATAACATAAAAATAAAGCATTTTAAAAAAGTTATATAAAAGGATATACTTTGTAAAGTGTAGTAAATCCTCCTAGAAATACAGCAAACTTGAAATATTTTCTTTTAAATAATATTTTTTTTATATTCTTTGATTTTGTAAAAATTTGTCTATAATGAAAGATCAATTGTATGGCTACTTGTATACCATATCCATAACTGAATAATTGTGCTCCGCTCTATAAACAAAAAATGATTTACACATATCTGTTGATAAATAAACTTTTTAAAACATACATATTCAATGAATTTTTACCATTAATATATAATGAGCACAGCTGTAAGGGTGTGGACAAGACAAATGTTTACTTTTATTTTTTAAATTATTTATGATCTGTTTGTAAACTTCAAAAGACTTCCAAATAATATCAAAGGTATGACGTTTGGATCTTCTTTCTAAAAGGTTAAAGGTTCTTAATTCTGAAGGTTGAGTGGAAGAAGTAGTTTGAAAATTTTCAATTCTTTTGCCAAAATATTCAGTCTGTTCATATGGACCAATGATAAACCTACAGTAGATTATGTACATATATAAATACTATATTAACAAACTGCTAAAAACAATATAGTGTATATTACCTAATAAGTTTGTATATAGAATCTTGCTTGACAGGTTTAGATCGATAAAAGTAAAGTAACATACTTATGCTTAAAGCAAAAATATAAACTTGTCCATATGGAATGCTTCGATAATATCCTCTCCAAATGCCCATATTAAATAAGGTTTCTGTTGCCTAACAAAAATGTCTTGATATTTTTAATATACTCCAATTATATATAATCTATTGGAAATATATGCTGTCATGTACTTACAACATTTGACACATAGAGACATAATAAAGTACGCCTAGAAGGTTTTTCTATTAAAATAGCAGCTATATTAGATAGAAATGAAGGTAAAAAAGATACTGTAATAATATTCATACATCCTAACACCTTCCTGAAATACATTTTAAGATAAAAGAACTGTTTTTACTTAAAGTATATTAAATAAAATGTAAATGTTTATTTGTAATTTATATTACCTTAGACCACAAATATTTAGGGAATAATTAAATGCAGTCCAAGAAAGAAATGCTGAAGATTGAAGAATTCCTAATATTGTTTGTATAATGATATCTTTTGTTGGTTTCTTTCGTTTCATCAATAAAGTAATCTATCATAAATTACATATCAATTAAATTCTTACACATTTTTATTTGTTTGTTTTTATACAAATTCAAATTACGCGCAATAAAATCGATATTTACGAGTCTCTTCAGAATCACAATCTCGAAATGTTATATTCTTATATTTAAATGCGAATCTTAAATATCTTAAGTAATTTAACAATCATGACCGAAAAATAGTGTAAATACATTAGGATAAAAAATATGAATATCAAATGATAACAGATAAAAAAGAATGGTAATAGAAGACATTTATTTTTTTTTTTATGCCTATCATATATAATGACATTGAATATCGCAGAGAACGAAGTACATATCGATATAGACAAAAAGAATGAAAATGAAAAAGAATAGATACATACGATATATACTATCGAATAAATTTTCAGAGATTCTTGCAAACAGTCTAGGCCAAGACCCATCGATGCAGAAATACACGAATTTGTCCACCAATGTGTGCATTCTTTACAACTTGTTTTAATAAATTTACTGAAATTGGCAGGCATTTTTAGTTTTCTTTTTTTGTCCTCTTCTACTTTTTTTTTCTCATTTATCTATTTCAATCATTCAATTGTAATTTGTTTTAATATACAGTCGATTCTTCTATTTGGTACTTCTCTATTTAACACTTTGCTTACGTGGAATAAAGAATTTTGTTAAAGTCATGTTATGATTATATATAAAACGAAGGATTTATAAATTTAACATAGAAAATTATATATAGGTCTTTCCAAATTTTTTTTTTTTTTTTTTTTTTTTTGTATATATTATGAAAAGCAATAGTAAATTAAAAATATTTCGATGGAATCATATTACTTGTTATTACTTTTGCAAAATGTAAAATTTCGACACAAAACGGTTTTCTATTGATAGGTGTAATTTGGTTCGAGAACTAACTTAAATAATTCTTGAAACGCGCGGTTAACGAAAACATAACATACTTTCTGCACTCTTTACAAACTTCTGAGTGCTTGTGAACCGAAGAACGCAATTATATTAACTATCGGTTCAATACGGATTGAAGTTGGTATCCGTGTCCAACAAATGAGTGTTTTCTTAAGGTACGTTCACATTTGTCAAAGATTGAGAAGATTGATTAGTACCGATGTCTGCTGAGCGTAATTGAACAATTATCGAAATTGTGTAAATGCAATATTTGAGTTATAATGTATTATGAATTTTTTGAATATAATCATTTAAACTTAATAAGATAAATAAATAAAATTTACTCGTTTATAGGCTATTGGAATCTTTTCGGGAAAACGATAATAACCTAATAATCATGTATCTATTAACGGTTTTCTACTATTTGTGAGATTTTTGATCAATAATTTATTTTTCTTTTAAAATTAGACGAATGTATTATGTAATTTAATTATTAATTTTGCTTAGATTTTATATTCGTTAATTCAGGCATACGTGTTTATTACATTAATTAATCCAATTGTTTTTTTATACGTTTACATATGTGTAATAAATGTCACTTTGTTCTTTCTCCAAATTTATATCATTTATTTTTATTCTAACATTTGAAATCAAAAGAAATAAAACAGAAAGGAATATACATATTCAATTCAATATTATTTATTTTATTTTTTTGTTTTTTTACTTGTTTATTTATATGTTCGATGATTTATTTATTAGCAAAAATATATTTTTTTATTTATTGAATTATGAAATTGTTATTCAATGCATTAACATAGAAACTAGTAGTAAAAAATGACTAATGAAAAATGCTATAAATATGATTATCTTAATTAACTATTATTAACATTGTTAGCTTTAAAAATGATCAGATTATTTAAGTACAATGTACAGATATATGACAAAAGCAACAGATAGAAATATTTAATGCATGATAATTAATTGATTTGGTTATATAAAATATTACAAAATACTTTTATTTAATATAAATAAATTGTTTATTTCTCAAAATTGTTATGTTCATTAAAAATCAAAATTAAGATCTTTGCACTTTATATGAGATGCAATTATACATTTTTGGAATGAGAAAAGTAAACAAAATATGTTTTTATCATAAAGAAAAAGAGTTGAATGACAGATGACATTGATTACAGTTTTAATTCACGTTATGTCCATGTTTTAAATAAACCCTAAATCTATGTCCAGTATTGTTTTACTGCTAATGAAAGCTGTTATATTCAGAATATTAATGCAATATGACTAAACATTTTCGAAGTCCGATAAATGATATTTTTATATAAACTCTTACATAATTGCACAGTCCGTTAAATGTCAAGTCATCGAAACATTTGATGAAATATCGAAGGAAAGATATATTTTTTCTTCAAAACTTTCATTTGAAATATTTTTTTATAAAAACAATTAGATATGAAATCAAATATGTTTATAAAACCAATATGATTGAAGATATTTGGCTATATAGTTTAAAATGAGACATCCTATATATTATTTTGGCACTACTAGCAGTTATAAAATATGGAGCTCTATTCATGAAATGTGTATGTGTACTAAGATATATATATGTAAAAGATAAATTGCAAATAAAAAATTTTTGAATATATTAGTCTTCATAATAAGAAGTGTAATGTGTGTAATATATTAGTCTTCATAATAAGAAGTGTAATGTGTGTTTTTGTCATGTATGATATAAGAAATGGTTGTTTCTATGCATTTCAAGATTTTACATTCCGATAATAACATTTGAAAAAAGCTAAAATAAGCAAAAATAAATACATAATGTCGCAGGAAGATATCTTAAATGCACCGATTATTTTTTATTTTCAATAGTTTTTCTATATATATATATATTTTTCATATTTTATATCATTCTGTTATATATATATATACAGAAAATTTTTTTATCAGTATTTTTACAAAGTACGTATATTATCTGTCATTACCAAATGTAAATTAATGTAACAGAAAATTGATACGTTCTTAATTGCGAATACAATATATTTATATTCAAAGGCCAACGCATTAAAATATATTCAAGGCCAATGCATTAAAATATATTTGTATTGCAAACATGTATAGAATAGAACTTAATATTATGTAATATATTAATCTATTCGTATATCTTGGTCTTAAAATCATTTCTATTTTGTATTTCATACAATCTTTACTCTTTTTAAATATAAATGCAGAGTTTATACTTTCGATATAATGAAATATGTAACATTATTATTTCTGAAATTATTTGAGACATCTATGAATACATTGAAATCTTAAAGCTGTTCATCAACCTTGGTTTTTTTTACACCATCAATGAGAACAGGCGTAATTCTCGACCGATTTTGACGAACAAGGTCTCATTTTAAAGACGAAGGTTTAATCTACGGCGCTTTTTTGGAAGATTTTTGAAAAAGTTTTATTTTTTTTGAAAATAATCGTATTAAAAAATGGTATTTTTCAAGAATGGCCTATGCACAAATAAAAAGCTTTTTAAAAAGTCCACTGTTCATCAAAAGTTCATCAAAATTGGTCGAAATTTATTTCTGTTCTCCTTGATGACACAAGTTTTCGACATTTTTCGCGAAGAAAACGTTTAGTTCTGTGGCTCCCTTCGAAATTTGCGGTAAAAGAGATGAAGCTCATACCCCACTACTGATTTTCATATCACACTTGAATGGTGTATGTTTATGTCCGCGAACTAACGATTGTTTGCTTGGTTAGTGCGTAAATATCTAATAATCATATTTTTTAAACATTACAAACGCAAAGAAATGGCTTTCATGAAGCTCGCATGGAAAAGCTATGGTAACAAACTCGATCATTTTAATGAGTTTTGGCCGGATGATTCTGTGGCAAAAATAAGTAAATACGTGTCCAATCGTTTATGCCAAGGGATCTGGATTTCTAAAATATAATTAAATTTTTGAAAAATTTGTAGTTCCTTTCAGATTTTATAGACTAAAAAGATAAAGATTTTATAAGTAATGTGTAGCATATTGGGAAGCATCTAGATTCATAATACAGGAAATCATAAGTTCTTGAGGCTAAACGATTCCGATGTTTTTTTTTTATTGTATCAATGTAAATGAAACTAATGAATTAATTTACTCTTTTTTCCTTATTTAAGATAATTTAGGTGTTATTATCCAATTTATTAAATTAATTTTTCCTACTGATGGATGATGTGAAGTTCGTGGTGATCTGTGCTACATACGATACAACAGTAATATAATTTTATTCTCTGACAAATGCATATAACGTATATATACATTTGTCGATTATTTGTCCAAAATTAATAACTAGTAAACATATATATTATATATTATATATTATTTTTAATAAAGATCAAACATGAATTCTTTTCCAAATCATCTATGAGATTTCTCTTTTAGCGCTACTTTGTTGTGGTTTCCTTTGAAGGAGTTTATATTATTACTATAATAATAATATGTAATGTAATAATATAGTAATAAAATCAATAATAATAAAAAGAAACAGCAGAATTTACTTATATTATATGCATCGTGACACATATGATGACGATTATTTATTATAACAAAAAAAAAGAAAAATGTATCATTTTTCATAGTGGTTTGACACGCGAATTTTCGACAAATTGTATTCTTGATAATTTCGACACATGACCGCTTATCTAATACAAATGACATATGAAAAAAAATACAAAATGTTTCTTTTGTTTTTGTCCACTATTGTTTCTTTTTGTCTTACTATCTTATTATCGTAATGCATTTGTTTTCACATTGTTTTTTACTCATGATTAATTGTTTTTACTATTAAAAATAATATAAAATATTAGGTGAACCGGAAAGTAATGTTGTTTCTGCGCATGTCGATATTTGATTGCGATTAAAAATAAAAACTTGTTAAAAATTTATTCGTTTGAATTTAATTTAAGAAAGTGACATTACTTTTCGGTTCCCCTAATATATTAAATAATATCTAGATGTATATAAATAATATTTAGGTATATTTTTATTATTATTATTATATTACATTATATTATATTATTATTATTAGTAGTAGTAATAGTAATAGTCGAAATCGTATAGAATGGACTAATAATCTACAGGAGCAACTACGTAAGAAAAAAAGCGCTAGAATTTCTACTTCATAAGTAGTGTAGGAAATGAATTCATGTTTTAATTTGTATTAAAATAATATAATATATAAATATTCATTAATTATTTTTAAGAAAATATTGGACAAATTCTTATTTTTGCCGCAGATTTATATACTAATTCTTATATATTTCATTTCATATAAGAATTATTCATATTCAATTATATAATATATTTATTTTCTATGCATTTATCGTAAACAAATGCGTACCGACATCGTATCCAGCATGGATTACTGCAATCCACACTATCATCAAAGAAAGATATGCATATGAAAGATTGAAAAGTGTAAGTCATGATCTACTAACTTACTTACTCTACTCACACGAAACCAATTATTATATCGCACGAGAGAGGAATAACTAAACAAGTTTATACATTGATATAATAGAAGCATGGTGGGGACAGCGTTTCCCACTTGTATTCGTAGTTTATATTTTGTCCATACTTGTCGCTGAAGTCATACATGCTTTGAACAAAAAGTAGTGAAAAGCCTTAACGTATCATATAAAAATCTAAATTTGTGTATGCGTTTGTTATGTATATGTCACTTATCGTTTAGATTGTTTTATAGTTGAACTTAAAATTTATACCAATTAAATTAAACCGATTAAAAAATTTATACAGAATTGTATATTTTTAGTGAAGTTAAATTAAAATAAATCAAAATTGCGCGGATCCCTCTCATAGAAAATTAAAACAGAAACTTAATTTATGGGTTGATACTTGTACAGTAATTTTGTTGATAAAAGAAAACTATAAAATTAAAACTATAATTACCTTTTTAGTATCGATTTTGTTACCCCTACTGTCCTCTTACACTTCTGTGCTGCTATCTAGTGGAAAAATGCAAAAATATTTCTGTAGATTATAGAATTATCGACAAGAGAGTAAATTTTGTACCTAGGACTGTGATAGTGTTATCTATCGACAATAAAAACAAGCTTTTAGCATAGATAAACAATAAAAAGGGTACAGTAAAATATTGTTATATCGGTAATGTATTAGAGTTCATTAATTTTAATCAGTTACAATTTTCCAATCGAATTGTTAAATGTTGATTACAAAAAGGTAATATTTTTTACAAAGAAATTTAAATCTTTTCGACAAATCATATATTTATATAAAATTTGTAAAAGTACCTAAAATTATATATAATTATATAATTATATCCAATATTCTTATGTATTTATACTTCTGTGAAATCAAATCTTGACTTCACTCGGATAATGCACACTTTCGTGCTGTAATGGTTGCATCACTTTTGAACTGTGTATAAAGTTTACCGTAAAGATGAAAAGATGTAATTTAAGGCTCGTAAATGTTTCCTTTTTTTTTGTAAAATATATTTCTGACTTCGCGAATCTGTTATGATATGATCGATAAATATTTGTTTAAAACAAAATTAAATGTATATGTATTTACAGATGTTTCAATGAATGATATACGAGAAACTCAGTTATTAAATTTTCTCTTCCAGGTAATTATATCCTATTATAATTAAAAAGAAATTAATCGAACTAATTATTATATTAATTAAATATGAGACATTTTAATTAAATTAATTGCTATATTAATGGAAGATGAGACATTAATTAAATAAATTATCACATTAATTAAATATAAGACATTTTAATTATATTAATTACCATTTTACTTAAAGACGAGAAATTAATTATTTATTCCATTTATTAAATTAATTATTTTGTTAATTAAATACAAGAAATATTAATTTAACAATAGGACCTCTTATATAACAAAATCTAATATAAAGAAACTTTCGAAATAAGAATTATGGGTATAGTATTAACTTTTTCCAAATTATTTCCATAAATTTCCTTTTGATATCCTCGGAAGAACAAATTTAGCTTTGAAATGCTTTAAAAACAGCTATCTGCATGACAATTTTCTTGAAATTGTTGAAAATTTCAAATTGTTCTATTTCCTATAAGGAATTTTTTTTGTAGGGGCAATAAAACATCTAGAGAAATATAAAAATTTAATTACTAATTTAGGTGGTGGCCGAATCCTTAAAGATATATCTTTATGCTCTTAGAATATTATTTATGTGAATATAATATCTTTCTTACAGAAACATGACGTACGTGGAACATTTATAATAATATTATCGTAACTCAAAATTACGATATAGAACAGGATGAAGAACTGATTATAAACCATTCAACGTAATTAATCATACTTAATTATGATTTTTATTCTCAAGAGATTAATAAATGCATTACACATCTTTAAAAAAGGAAGAGACATTATTACATATATTTGACTTCCGATCGGTAGTAGTACTAATCATAGGTAACTTTCTATGTCAAATAATTACCGATCAACAGTCACCTTTAAGCTTTAAGCGATGCAACCAGAGTATATAAATAAGCGTTCAAATAAAACACACGCAGAATCAAAAGTAACATCAGCCTGATCATTTGATTAATTTGTATTCTGATCGGTAGTCGTTAATAGTACATTAATTTCAATTGAAGATTATGTAAATCGTATTGCAGTCAATACATTATTTATAACAAATTTGTTATTATATATCGTCAGTATACGTAATTGGTAAGTAATATGAGTATTTATATATATCATTATAAATAAATCCCTTTTATACAATGAACATATTTTTATATAATACTTCTAATTAATGAATGTAAGTATTATATATATATATATATATATATATATTATATTTCTATTATATATTATATATATATTATATTTATATACATATTATATATTATATATATTATATTTCTATCTATCGACCGTTTAATAGTCGATGATATCTAACAGTATACTTTGTTATTTTAGATTGCTTGAGTTTCGAACAAAGTGACATTACGAAAGAATTTCCTGATAAATCAGTACAAACAACGATCTAATTCTGCTCTATACTTCTTGATATAAGTCTGATAAAGATCTCTTCCAATAAATTTTATAAAAATTCTTTGTCTATCGCCGAAATGAGATCGACCATTATATTGCGAACGATGAAGTTTGTTAAAGCAACACGCCGATTTCAACGGCGATTAAACGTTAGAAATGGTAAGATTATTAGATAAGGAAACAATTACTTACAACTCGAGCAAAATATAAATATCGCGATAACGTGAAACGATAATGTAAACGCTTCTTTTCTAGTGACCGGCCAAATATCGTATGTGCTGTTTTTAATAAACTTTTGTCACAATGTGATTGATTATAATCTAAGAATTTAATCGATCATTCGATATTTACTTTACATCTTGAATAAACAAAATATCATTCTTTATCGTAACAGAATTAATCGTAAGATGTAAACAAGTATATAAAGAGAATAAGTCGAAAAGTTTCCCACTATCAAGACAAGGCTATTCTCTGTTTTTATTCAAGATTATCTCATGTTAGATATTAACATTATTCTTTGATCTGAAGATTATATGATTGTATTAACTGACTTTGCGATATGTACAGGGTGTCTTAGAACAAGTGGGAAATATTTTATGGGTATTTCAGCACATTTAAACAAAAAAAGAAAATTTCATATAAAGGTATATCCTGTTTGATTTGTTGATTTTGATTGTTTTCGAGTTACAGCAGATTTGATTTTAATCGTAATAATCAATGATTCTTTTATAATTCTATGGCTCTCTTACTTCCTCCGTATGTTTAGATGTTGCTCGGATTTGTTTGAAATTTTCTTCAATTCTTTCACAAAGAGTTTTAATATTGTCAATGAGCATTTTGTATACAGATCTATATAACAAAAGAATTATTGTAATATTAAATTTGCAATAACTCGGAAACAAAGTTAGATAGTATATATATATTTATATGAATTCATTTTGAATTGTTTTGATTTTTTTAAGGGCTGAAACTATTCTTCAAATATTTCCCAGTTATTCTGGGCACCCTATACATATATATATATATATATATATATATATATATATATATATATATATATGTTTATATATACAATATTGAGAAGGTATTAAGTAAGGAATTAAGTATTATCGTAGGTTATTACTCAAAGTCCTCTTATCGCTCATTATTGCTCTACTATTTATTCAACTCGATATAATCAACTAGATGCATATGGTTTAAAAATATGTAACTACATCTAATCTCAATGGCTTACAATTAGATATGTATGTATATTATTGTGAAATATCTGTCAAATGAAGCTTGATTTACGTTTTCAAGGATATGGCCACCTCATCTATGACGTACTTTGTCCGATCGGTATACGTTTAGAATGTATTTAAATCACAATGTTCAACCACGAATTATAGTACGTTTTATTACGATACTAAAGTACGTGTCACTTTATATGAAACGTGCGGTGTTAAAGCTCACACACAAGCTCGTGCGTTATCTCTTTGACGATTATATAAACAAAAAAAATATATAGTGCATCTCGACGGTCGAGGGAGCGATGAGGATGAGAAATCGAAGAAGACTCGGAAGAGGAGATTTACTTGTAAATAACGCAATCGTGCGGTGGTCGTCATTCTTTCATACTCTCCGTCGATTTAAAATCAAACTTTAGACAGTTTTATCTATGACTAAGATATATTTCAATTTTTAACAGTTCTTTAATTAAAGTGTAGGATAGGACCGTCAGTGCCGGAAATAATCAGTGACCAAACAGAGACTTCCAATTTTATTTATTTTCGATATTTTTGGTTTTATTCTCAGTAAGCGATCAACATTTTGCTGGGATTGAAGAAAAAAAGAAGAAGATCGATAAGATGTTTAAAATTGGTTTTTTTGGTGCAGGAAAAATGGCTCAAGCATTGGCCAAGGGTTTTATTAGAGCTGGTAAATATCATCTTCTCTTTAATTGGAATTCTTTTAATAATAATAATCGTATTAATAGGTTTAAGTAAAGGTGATATGATGCTTGCTAGTTGTCTTCCAAATGATGTAGGCAGCATCGAAAATTTCAAGGTATTTGATATTTTTCTTTTTTCTGTTTTTTTTTTTTTTTTAATGTTTAATATAATAACATAGAAACGAAATACGTAAGAATTATGAACATTATGAACATTATGAATTATGAACAGTTATGTATGTTATTATTCACGAATCAATGTCCATTACAATCGCTTATCACAAACTTGTCCGCGATAAACACTTCAATTCATGCAAAATATTATGTTCATTTATTATTTATATAGTGTGTTTCATTTAAGATAAGTCTAATTATCTTCTCTATATGTAATAATACAAGAAATATTTCTTACGTAATTTAAATCTTTTCAAAAGACGAATCAAACGGAAGAAAATCATTTTTTATAAATGTCATTTTTTTATGGTTTTTTTTTCAAGATAATCCATGTTTTTTTTTTACATATATATACATTTTTTGTTGTTGTATATTATAGGTAACATTATCGTAGGTTCATCTATGTTTAATAATATGATTTTGAAATGACCTTAGATTTCAAAATTGTAAATTTAGTGTGAAATTTATTTTCAGTGATATATCAGGTTTTATCTCACACCCCTTTATTTTTTTTGTGAGGAACATTGTGAGGAACATATAGATAATGACTTATAACGGCAGAAAATATGAAAGAATGAATACGTTAAAAGACGTGTTTATGTAAGTGACCTTGACAAAAATCACTAAAAAATGACATTTATCTTTTGAAATCATTTAAATTACATAAGAACTATTTTTCGTATTATCACAGACAGAGGAGATATTTAGGTAATCTGTTTTAAGTAAAACATCCTGTATAAAGAGATACAGTTCTAATGCGCGCAATTAAGAACAGATTTATAATGCTTAAAATTCTCTAAATCATCAATATTTATTTACTTAGTCTTTTATTTAATCTAACTTTCTTATCTCTAAGCTAAAAATAATTTATTATTGTAGGATATAGGATCAAAAACTGTATTCAATAATTCAGCTATAATCGATCACGGCGAAATTTTAATTTTAGCCGTGAAACCGCAAGTAGTACCGATGATATTACCAGAATTAAAGAATTGTTCAAAATTATTACTTTCTATAGCTATGGGCATTCCAATTTCAAGATTAGAAAAGGTAAAGAGAAATCATTACTGATTAACGAAAGATTAATTGATACCATAGATATTAAATAAAAAAATTTGCACAAATAAAGGCTTTGCCAAAAGGAACTCCAGTGATACGAGTAATGCCTAATACACCTGCTCTCGTTGGTTGTGGTGCTACAGTATTTAGTCGTGGTACACATGCAGGAGATAAAGAGGCAGAAATTGTTAAGAAATTATTTTCCGCTGTCGGTTTTTGCGAGGAAGTATCCGAGAACATGATAGATCCAGTCACTGCTCTAGCCGGATCTGGTCCAGCATATGTAAGTCACAATATCAGAATTGTAATGAGACTCGTAATAAACAGATAGGCGCATTATGTGTTAACGTATGCGATAGGTATTCATGATGATTGAAGCTCTGGCAGATGGTGCTGTAAAAATGGGGTTAATGAGAGATCTAGCATATAAACTAGCGGCTCAGACTGTCCTTGGTGCTGGTACTATGGTTCGTGAAACAAACATTCATCCGGGTCAGCTCAAAGATGACGTAGCCTCACCTGCAGGTTTGAAAATTTGATTGAATTAAAATAATCGATATCATATTTCGATCAAAATATTCATGATAAATTAATAATCGTTTAAAATCTATAATACCAAATTGTTTTATATCGTTTTTGTAGGATCCACAATAACAGCAATTCATCAGTTAGAGAAACATGGATTAAGGGCTGCGCTTATTGGTGCCATAGAAGCGGCGACGCATCGATGTAAAGAAATTAATTTAATTTTGGAGAAAGCAAAGTAGTAATTGAGTTAAATTACTAAGCAATATTAGAAAATTGAGAACCAAGAAATGTATACAATCGAGATGTATAGATAAATCTTGTAACTCAATTTAAGGATTTATCAAAATTTTAACATTCGTAGTTATGAAGTCCTTTTACTTTGTGAACTCTTTCAATTAAAAATTTTTTACAATTGGCATTTTTCAACACTTTTGAACACTTTTTACAATTGAACGACTTTTATTATTTCTATTAAAAATTGGTTGTTAAATTCTCTTCTAATTTTCCTTTGTATGCACTTGGATTACTTATATATAGTTCATATTAATGTAAAACGACTTTTTCCTATAAATAATTGTGCGTAGGCGACTAAATACTACATTTATGAAAAAAAACCCATTTTAGTGAATTTTTCCTAAATAAAATTTATTTTAACAATTATTTTGACTATCAACTCGCACAAATATAAAATTACCAAATATTCATATATGAATATCATTTTCATGATTACGTCTGTTATAATGTGTCAGATTATACTTTATTTAATTGCATTCATTGACATTCTCTTATACAAGTTAATATAATTATAATAACGTAATATAAATAGAAGTATATACAATTTTATACAATTGTTATGAGAACTATACAGAAAAAATAGACTGCGATCTTTTATAATAAAAGAAGTTTTATTGAGATTATAATATTAAATAAACGAATCTCCTTGGAAGAATAATATATTACTTTCATGGTATCACATCCAAAGCATCCATTTTTTTTAAAACAGTATATTATTATGATTTCATTAATGTATGTTTATAGATATTTTATTATACATAATAAATATACAACTATTATATTTGATAACAAGTGGATTTTAGTTACTTAGACATTTTATGTAACAAATATATACTTTCCTTACAATATTGTTTACAATTATTATAATTTTATAATTATAGTTAAGGCCAATTAAAAAAAGAAAAAATAAACTAATAGATCATTTTACTTATTTAATAATAGAGTATAAATTTTATTTGATGTTGCAGGCACGTATTTATTATATTATTTACATTTATTTACATGTATTTTGATTTATTTTGGAAGAGATCTAATATTTGTTACATTGGCAGTATTTAAAGTATTTACTATTACTCTTTTTTTAAATTGGTAAAAAAATAAATTTGTTAACAATTTTTTTTCTTAAAATATTTTCGTATGTGATCTTTTTAATGAATTTGTTGCACTTGCATTATAATAATAAGAGAAGAATGAAATGTTTTTTTAAAGTAAAAAACATTTTATTATATAAAACATATAAATCTTAATTATCTATTTTCGTTTTACTATCAGTAATATCAGGAATAAATTTTTTATCTTTTGTTTTGGTACGTTTAAAACATAAATCAAATTCTGTTTTAAACATTTCTCTGTAATAACTTTCTTTTACAATATCACTTTCTGGAACACCTTCTTCCTGACATTTTAAAACATATGATTTATGCATTGTAGCAATACTCAACCTAGAATCTAGATAACTTTTTTCATTTCCGTCCTTAGGATTTATTGATCTTTCTATTGGGAATGATTTGATATGTTCACGAATTCTTTCTTTAACAGCTTCACTTTTTTTTGTCTTTGGCGTATGTCTTCCTCTTTGATCAGGTCCAATAATACCACCAGGAGAAGATCTTTTTTTATCCATTGCATGTCGTACGAATTTTTCAGATACCGAGAATGTACTTAAAAACATACATTTACAAACTGTTATAAAATCACCTCTTAAAAGTAAGGAGTAGGTAAATGTAACTTGTCTACGTTCTTCTGCTTTAATAGTTCCACGACAACGAGTTCTTTGTTTTGGTGATTCTTTTACAGAAAGTGCAATGTATTGCTTTCTTTGTTCCCATGTACATGTTTTCCAAAATACTTTATGCAATTCTTCTCGTGCTTGTTCGTCTATTTTTTTACTGCAATGCATACGACAATTGCATGGTGGTCCCATTGTTTTAGCTGGCACTATCTTTCCTACGTATGATAAAAAATTTATCAATTCTCTTGTACATTATAATTTATAATATCAATTATGTATAATTACCTCCAACTCCAACATACTGTTCTCCTCTTAATCTCGCATTCTTTTTAATATTTACTTTCCATCTTTCTGGGTGTTTAGCTCGTTGTATACTATTTTTATTCCTTTTTTCTGTTTTCGATTCTTTAGATTTCATAGGCTTTTTATTGTTAAGTTCTAATTCTTGTACAACATGTGAAGGTGATGGTATATCATCTAAAATACGTTCCATTACAAATGAATGTAAAATGATTATATAAAATTTATAATATTCTGTAATTATATCAATCTTAAAATATTTTATACTCAGTAATGGAAAGGTTGTTGTAGATGACATCTCTTGGTGTTCTGACAGTAGGTCTATTGAGGTAATAGGAGAATTTTTCCACCATTGTGCATTACTTGTTGTCTCAGTAAAATTAGTAGATTGAACTAATTCAAACAAAAATTTGTAATATAAAATAAAATAAATCTATTAAGATAGACATAGAGATATTTGTATATGTATATATATTATTTTCATATTTACAATAAGACGATTGGGTTTGTGGTTGTTGTTGGTTTAATTCCACTTGTTTATTATTCTCAAACCATTCCATTTCCTTTCTTGTGAGAGGCTCTGCTAATGGATCTATTTGTGCTAAGTTTTGATCTATTGTATCTTCCATTGTTTAGAATAATGCACATTTAAAATTGTTTGTAGACATCATATAAAAACATTCTAACCTGTTTTACTTAATGTAATTCATTCTTTCATATCTCTTAATTCTTATTGAAGACTTCATTTTTTATCAAAATTAAATTCAGAGATATAAATAAATAGAGGAAACTGTAATGTTATCCTTTCTCTTTTACTATTATTTAATTACATTTTAGGTTATGTTCTATTGAATTATGTTTTAAATTGCATTATAGTGATAATCAGGATATTGCTTTAAATCTACAAAATACAGTAGTTTTTTGTGCCATTGTACTGATTACAAAGTAAATTAATACGAATCTACATGCAAAAAGAATATCGTATATCACATATACAACTTCTATACATAAACGTCATTTACATTAACGAAGACTATTCATTTTAACATTGAAAATCTAATTTAGATTCATTTCCAGGTAATATAATTAGATCTATTTTATTTCATAAACAGAAATGTAAATTCTTGTAGAAATAAAATTTTGTTTTTTCTTGTTTTTCTAATTTAATAAATAATTAGCATTAGATTCTAATTGAGGTCGTATGAATTTAATTTATCCTTGATCGTTTGAATTATATATTAGCTTGCATCTTTTAATTATACAATTTATTATATAAATAAAATTAGATTTTAAAATAATAAATATCATTAGTATTCTTAAAATAATAAATATCATGAGTCTGAAAATATGTATATTTACAAGATTATTTAGAAAATAATTCACAGCATTGTCGTTAGTTGATGTGCCGCTAGAGGAGCGAAGTGATCTTGCTCAAAAATTCGATAATATTCGGCAGTATTCGAGAGTCTTCGAACGAAATGGTATGGGATTGTATGTTCTCCGTTAATTTGCCTTCGCACTTGTTAATATTGTGCTTTCGTATACATTTTATTTCTATTCTTTATTTAATATATTGCTTTTTAACAGAGTTTCGTACGATGATCATAATTTAACTATACATTTTGAATTCGTTCCGTTCTGCAGTTGATTTTTATGAGATTAAATTTGTCAATATATTACAATCAAAAACCAAATTATTCAATAATACTATTTTTATCAATAATATTTCTTTTAAGTTATCAACAGTAATAACACAACTTGCGATTTGTTTTTGTCTGATTTATCAATTTTTATTTGCCTTTAGATCGTTAGCATCGACAAATTTAATATGGCGCTTCTTTCATTTTTTAAAACAACTTTTCATGGAATAATTTGTTAGTATTTATAGTATTAACATTATTAGTATTAATATTATTAATATTAACATTATTTTAAGAAAAACCTTAAGATAAGTTGTTTTAGGATTAGCTTGTATAATATAGAGAGAAAAAATGAATATATTATCGTAAAGAATTTTTAAATGAATTTAAAGAATAAAATTTCTTCGATAGGAATTTGTTTGTAGCCATCTTCGAATTGAAATGCACATCGGTAATATACCGTTTGGTGGCATGTTTTTCTTTTTCTACATTGTTCTCAATCGGTATAAGATCAATGTAGATGTCTCCGTTCGTGCGTGTCATACGTTGTTTCTTTTTTTCAGAACGATGAACAGTGCGTGTAAACAAAGCTTCATCAAGTTACGACGAATCGTTTTACAAAGGTGACGTAATCAAGAGCTGACTCATGTCTATCCAATCTGAAGATCGTCGCGAGTTCGACGTCGAGCAGCGCCTTGGAACAAAAGCTAATTGACATTTTATAATAACCTACATCTCCGGTGAGTATTTTTTAGGTTATCACTTTCGTTTTTGCATCTTTACGAATTAAGATACCAATTTAGTATGTCCCGAGACAATTGTCACATAATTAGTACTATTATTTTCTTTTTAATCAACATGATTTCTAAGTTCGACGATTTATCATTGTTTAAAGTCGACGAGTTATCGAATTGATCAGCTGTTCGAGAAAACGTCGCACCTATCCTTCCCTTGATGAAATGCTATACATATACTCGTCGAACCCTGTACTTCGAATTTATTTTTATAATTTTTTTTCAAGTAGAAAATATATATATCATTCTCTATACAATTAAATTATTAATATTATTTGAGAAAATGATATCAATTTTTATATATTTGTTATTTTTTAAATAATAATATCCTTAGTCTTTTCTTAATTTGTGATGTAGTACGTGATGATGTACGAATTTTGTTATAATACGATACAATAGTTGAATAAAATTTAAGAAAGGAAATAAGTAAAATTTGATGAATATTCGTGAAATATTATAGAAAAAATTCGTAAAATTTGAAAACATTAAAAATCAAAGGAAGTACTTAATACCGCAAGAAAGAAAGAGAGAGCGCTCATATAGTACGCTCAATATAACTTTTACATTTATATTCAAGGACAATGACTGAAAAAGGTTTTGATTCTTTAGAAATCATGCTTATTTTCTCTTTCAAATAATATCTATTCGATAAATCTTGATTATAAGGTATATATAAAAGAATA